CTAATGAGCCGCCATTTTGCAGAAGAGGCTCTTGCGCCCGAAGGAGCTGTCTACACTGCCCCTTCTTGTGCAAGAAAATCCCTCTTGCGCAACGCCGTTATTCCTGAAAATAATCAGCGTAGCGGCATTGTGCAAGAGGGTTTTCCTTGTGCAAGAAGGGGCAGTGTAGACAGCTCCTTCTGGCGCAAGAGCCTCTTCTGCAAAAATGGTGGCTCATTAGGTATGCAAATGAGGCTTGGCAATATTCTATGCTTAGCCTCATTTGCATATTTCTGGCGCAAGGAGTAGTGTAGACCTAGCCTTTGAGTCCCTACTAAGGACCATGCTGTTGTCTGCCTATTAGCTCCACTTTCACATGATTTTAATTGTGACTGAGTCAGCCTGAGGCGCAAGGTTTACTAGTTGCGGTCATTTACAAGAAGATCATTCTTGGACCACCGTGAGGCATTGTTCGGTGTCTTCTTTTCTCAGAATGCAGGGACGCGCTCCTGCCTCTCGTAATAGATCAGCTAAGTGGCCAGCTGGATGACAACTCAAACAAACCTGACCACGAGGCCTGTGCTCAACTCCTTAGCAACATTCTAGAAGTGCTCAATCGGAAGGATGTGGTAAGTGTTGTCCTGGCTGGGGTGGTCGCCCTTGGGGAGGTCAGAGGAGGAACAAAGCCCTCTTCAGTGCACCTCGCCGAACCAATTATTGCAGAGTCAACGAGGCCAGAAGTTTGCGGAAGCGTTTCTTTAGGGGGCGTGAGACGTTAGGTCCGATTTATCTTTAATTAGACGCAATCGAAAGTGGAGCCAAGATGTTCTAGGACAGGCCGGGGTCAGATCATCCCCAGAGAGGTGATCTGCTGATGCAGCACTTATAGGGGATATAAAAGAAGGGAGCACACGTTAGAGCTGCCTTCGTGCGGCTCTAACTTGCTCTGGGAGCCGATCTAGGTCCAGCACAGGGAAGATGAGCCTGCAGTGAATCCCTGTGCTGGGCCCTGCGCTGGTGCAGAGATTTATTCCTCCCCTTCTCCGAGTCTAAAACTATTTAAGTGAGTTTTTGTTGGGCAAAGTCTCCTTGTCCAGCAGTCCTCTGACAATCACGGTCAGCCTGGCCCTTCCCGACAACAAATCTCTCTGCAGAATAGGCCATGCGGAGCTTAAGCTAAAGCCCATGCTTGTTTCATCTCTTCAGGGGCCCACGGCTGTTCACATCCAGATGATCATGGAGCGCCTGCTGAGGCGGATAAACCGGACGGTGATTGGGATGAGCAGACAGTCTCTGCATATCGTGAGACCCTTTGCTTGATTCTGTTCTTGGCTTTCAACCCATCACTCTGACACTTTGGCAGGCTGGAGCCTTCTGTTACCGTGTTTCCTGTCACTGGGTGGTATCTGTGGGGAGTGATGGGAAGGTCCCCCCAGCCCTATTAAAATTGGGTCTTGGTGGCAGAAGTGGGATACAGAACCTTCCTTTGCTAAGGCACCATTTTTAATCAAGTCTGGACAATAGGGCCTGCAAGGCCTTACTGCCTGCTGACTCTTCAGTGTGTCATACGTGCAGTGTGTCTGGGTCGCCGTACATTTTCTAACAGTCCGGCAGCCACATTGTAGAAGCACTAATTAATCTGGGTCCCACATGCTGAAGTATCCCCACCCCAATAGCTGTCCTTCCCAAGTCTGGGGAGAAATAGGTTGGTGAAAAAACAGGAGGTTTGCACTGCTGTGGCTAGCACTCCGAGCCATCCCTTGGATGCGGAGAATTGGGGTGACAACCCTGGGCCCTGTGTTTTGGGGGGGCCCCCACAGAGAGCTGAGAGAGGTGAGTGAGCAGAATAAGGAGGTGAATGGGGGGGCGGTGAGTGGCAGGCAGGCAAGCAGGAGGGGGTTAGAGGTGGGTGCTAAACACCCATCGGTATCCCCCTACCAGAACCTCCCTTCCACCCTAGTGCCTGCCTCATGTCAGATGTTTTGCAGCATCTGGAAGCACTGGGGCAGGGAAGGAAGAGGAGCGAGGGTCCCTCGGGGGAGGGGGGAAGCTGGGCAGGAAGAGGCATTGGGAGGGGTAAATAGAAGGAAGGTGGGGTCTTGGGGGAAGGAGTGGAGTGGGGGCGAGGCCTGGGTGCAGGAGCACCCCCCTGCACATTAGAAACACAGCGCCTATGTCCGAGGCCTCGCCGCTTCCTTGAGACAGTCTTGCCTGCACTATACTTGGTCTGGGGTGGAAAGAGAACTGTCAATCTAGCATGAAAATCACTTCACAGGAAGAGGTTTGATATTGGCAAATGGTTTCCATCGAATGTGTTTATCGATCAAGCCTTTGAGGGTGCAGTTTAACATTGACGTAGGAGACTTCGGCTTTTCAAACTTAAATTTTGGCGTTTCAGCAGAACTCCCCCTAGTGATCAGCCACGAAGGGAAAACATTTCTCTCCGAGGAAGAGCCTTTCGTGTCATTTACCAAACTGCCAGGGTCTCCGTAGCTCAGCGTGTAAAAGCTGCTACTTGCATTTATAGGAACCAGTGTGATTTCATTTCAGTTTCTTACTGGGAACATTTTTTTATGAATTCCAGTCCTAGAAGGGATAAAAACTGTCCCACCTCCTTTCCTCAGGCTTAAATCCTATGAGGAGTGATTTCCAGATGAATCCGTAGGTATTAGCCCACTGCTATCCAAGAAGCGCTGCAGATGTTATTGATCTTGGGAGTGAAAAACAATCACATGACAAGACATTAGTACGTGCATTGTCAGACCCCAAGTTAGCAAAAAACTGAGATGGGTGCCAGACTTAGAGGACGTACGTGGTCCTTTTGAAATCAAGACTATTCATGTGACTAAAATTAGACACTGTGCTGAACTGGGGCTTTAGTGCAGAAAGATAATTTACCAACTGCTTTTTATCCGTTCCAGGGTAGCTTTGTAGCCTGCATGACAGCCATCCTGAGACAGATGGACGATTTCCACTATAACCACTACATCAGCACTTTCAAAACCAGACAGGATATTATCGTAAGTCGGCTTCGCCCGGACTGCAGCCCAGTCCACGTAGCATCACTCTCTAATATTAGGGGTTTCTATGAAGGATGCCATAGTGTGACTGTTTAAATGAGCATGACCTTATTGGTTACTGTAATGGTTACATGCGGGCTGCCACCTGTATCAGAGCCCCCAGTGCGGGGTAGCAGCTAGCTCGCTGGGAGCGGGGTCAGGACCCAGTACACGCCAGCTCCCGGGGTGCCAACTACCACCTCAGATACTGCTGATACAGAGGCAGCAGTGTGGAGCGGCAGCCAGCTCCCCCAGAGAGGTCTATAAAATCATGAGCGGTGTGGAGAGGGCTGATAAAGAAAAGTTATTTATTAGTTCCCATAATAGAAGAACTAGAGGACACTTATCCCATAGAGGCCGCAGCACAGCTAACTGCTCGGGAGCTTTATGCTGCAGAACCTGCAGTGTATAACTAGGAAACTGCTACGATTTTTTGAAGGTTACATGGTTACCTCATTAGCTGCATTTTGCCATCCCTAGTTTCTGTCCAGCTCCTATGTTCCATTCAGGCTCTTGCACCCATCCCCATCGAGTATGCGAACATTCACTTCATGCCAGCCGGGTACAGCTCCACTGGCTGTTTGCTGACTCAACAAAGCGTTGGGCTAATTTGTCATGTAGAGTGAAAACAAATCTTTACTGCCTCTCCAAGCCTGTGTCAGTGAGAAGCTGTAAGAAAAAAGCGTGAATGAGGGTGAGAGGAAAAGCAGGCTTCATTTTCCTCGTTCTTTCTCGTCTGGCTCTGTCCTTGTCATCTTGTCTTTGCTCTTTTTTTTTTTTTTGTCCTCTTGTTCTTTTCTTTAAGGTTCAGTTAAGAGCTTGGACTCCCCTTCTGTTGTTCTGGGCTGAGGAAAAAGCCAACAAGCTTGGGGCAGTATTTATTTTAATTTCCAAACACATGCATATGTGGTTTTAAGAAGAGCCACAGGGCATCCTGGCAGTAAAACCTGAAACCATGCCCAGTCGGATTGAGTAGGGTCCTGTTTCAAACCCAGATGAGGTTTCTGAAAAGCTGTGTTGTTGTTGCAAACCTTTGGGAGCAGGGATTAACTGTTTGTAATGCATTTGTACAGTACCTAGCACAGAAGGATCTGTGATTAGACATCCCCGAGGATACACCTGTTTGGAATAAGGCAGGTGGCATCACGGTGGCTGACCAAGGTCAGCTGACTTGGGTTCTTGGAGTTTGAGGTGCATGCAGCCTCAGAGAAAATGGACACGAAATTATAGGTGCTTAAGGAGTCTCATGCGACCCTAAAGCCCATTCAACCAGAGCTAAGGTGTCAACGGCTGCCTTCCTTGTGCACGTGCTGATCCAGGACATCTGTAAAAGCTGCCATGTGGTCCTCCGTCCACACGTTTAAGTGTGACTACACCATCACTCCGGAGGCTAGAGACAACGCTGTGTTGCGGTCAAAATTCTGCCTCCAGAGATGTTACTTAGTCACCTAATAGAATGGATATGAGCAATCAGTCAAAGAAGAAAAGAGAGTTACCTTCTTGAAACTGGTGTTCGTTGAGTTGTGTTACCTTTGAGTTGTGTTACCTTCGAGTTGTGTGGCCATTCCATGCCCCGTCTTCCTTCCCCACAGCATGCTCAGAACCCAGCGGGTGAGACTAGTGCATAAGCATCAGTGGTGTGACATGGGTCTCAATAGTAGTCCCAGATCCTGATAGCTTGTCTCTGCCCGTGGCTTTGCAGAACAGCACAGAGAGCAGGAATACAGGCTCGACAGAATGTGCAGTTGTGTTTCTGTATTACCTAGTTCAGAACTTATTGTAAAACGTGCAACCTGCTGGGAACAGCCGGAAGCTGCCTTTGCTTCTCTGGCTGGTTATAGTTGTGGGTGATTTTGTTAAGCAACACAGCCATCTGCAGGACACAGATATTTTGGCAATTTCACTGCCTAGACTGAAAAAGCCACTCAAGTGAATAGTAGGTAACATTCCAAATCTTAACTCTGTGACTTAGTAACTCACCTGATTAGTCCTGTGGTACTTTAGAGACTAACCAAAATATATAGAATCATGAGATTTCACGGGTAAAATCCACTTCATCGGATGAGTTGGAGTGGAAATAACAGAAACCAAGAGTTATATAGAACAGCAGCAGATGTCCCTGTCAACTGTAGGAACCATGTTAATGAGGCTAATTAAGTGGGCTGGATGTGTCCATTACATCATTAATGAGGCTAATTAAGTGGGCTGGCTGTGTCCATTACATCGCTTTTGATGTGAAAATACAGATATTAAAGGGAGGAGAAATTGGCTTTGTAATGTACCAACCAGTTAATGGCTTTCTTCAAGCCCAGGGAATTACAGTATGCATTACAAAGACAGCTTTCCTGTGTACAAATCCAACTCCTCATCCTACAACTAAGTAGAAAGGCCTCTTCTAGATCAGCTCTTAAGGTGTGTTGGCTTTCACTTGACCAGTGTAGCTCTTGGTCAAGACTGTTCTACTGTCGACATTTGCTAATATCATAGCTAGTCTAGATAAGACCTAAGGTTACGTCTACATAGCAGCATTCTTTGAAATAACATAATGCGCTTCTACGCAACAAGCCATTATTTGGAAATAATTGGGAGCTAAAGGATTTGTTACTCCAACTCCTGTCACCCTCATTTCAGGACGAGTAAGGGAAGTGGGAGGAGGAGTGGTCTTCCTTCGCCTTCCTGCTGTGTAGACAAAAGCCGAATTAAGCTATTTCACATTTGTCTTGTTGTATAGACATATTCTAAGTGACTGGGGAATGACAACTCCCTGTATAATACACAATCATGCCGCTGCCTTATGTGATGCCATTATTCATACATTTGAAGGGAAGGACAGGTTGTACCTCTATAAACCGGAACTCTCTGGTCCAGAAGGACCACGCATGTTCCAGGATCAGTGTCCGGGTGCATTCTGGGGGATGGGAGGACTGGGAGCACAGTACTATGTGGATGGGGGTGGGGACCCTCGTGCAGCTCAGCTGGGCTGTGGGGACAGGGTGGGGGAGGGAGCTGGGAAGCCCAGCATGCTGTGGGG